CTTGCCGCTGACATCTTCAGTCGACCAGCTTCCAGCTCTCAATCACTGGCCACTTTCATTGGCCAGGTGGGGAAGACATCACTCCCATGCATGTGCAGGAGCTCAGTCAGATTCAGCTTTGCCAAATTTGTACAGTGAGCTTCTCTTACACAGGACATGAGAAGAGGATATACACAAAAACATGATCCACAAAAGAGCCCTATAGATGGTATGAGTCAAAGTATAATCAATAGATCACTGATATTCAATAGCCAATATTTCTGTCTGTGAAATTTTTGCAATTGGCCTGCAGAGACCACATACTAAAACTACCAATTGACAGCACTATATACTTGCCCTCTTTACCAAAGTAGACAGGGGTTGGATACAATGGAAATACTATTTACTATCTAGTTCCTGTATACGTCCTCTTGTGACATCCACAATTAATGGAGATTTTTTTCCTTTTGCCTGTTGCCTTGGGGTAACTATATGCATATAGTTCTGTGTCATGATGGGAACTGTTGGCCAAGTAATTTGTAAGCAACTGCAGACAGTTCCAAACATTAACAAACATTTTACAATAGAAACAAGCAATATTTGAATATGTGGAACAAAACACAACAGATACCTAAAGACAAATACTGGTACACTGGAACAAGTTAGAACATTAGTCATTTTTGTACATTATGTAGCAATGCAGTATCTATTATAATTAAAAATATGAGTAATGCTTTAAATGATTAATCACAGTTTCTGTGGTATATAAATGCATGTCAGTGGTATAACTAAGGGTTTAATGCTTTCTTTGAATTTTAAATGGAACCTGCGGTGGGAGAAAAAAACAGGCTGCCATTACTGACAGAAAATGCTCGCTCTCTGACTGTTATGCTGGTCCAGAAACTTCATTACTATCCAAGTCACTGACCTGGAATAAGTAGGGAGATCAGAAGTTCTAACATTTCTCTGACTGAGCAGCATGAAGATGGTATTAAAACCAGAGACAGCCAGAAAGCTAGTATTCTCAGCATGATGTAGAAAAGTGGAAACAACACCGTAGAGCTAAGAACTTCCAGAGAAGAGCCGAACGAAGTCTTAAAATGATAATAGCCACTGTGCAACCTGGACTGGATGATATAAGCATTACAACCCTTTTAAGATGGGGGAGTCTTGTAACTGCACAAGCAAAATAAAACAAAGGGTGCAAATGTCTAGTGCATTATCCACAGCACTTTATTAAAAGGTAAATGATGTATAAAATATACTCACAAAAGAAATGTGAATAGCAATGTAATAAAGGGCCCTGTTTCATTTTGTGCCAAATTGTATTGTAACTGTAATGTCTACCTTAATTTTGTAAAGCGCTGCACAAACTGTTGGCACTATATAAATCCTGAATAATAATAATAAGTAATCCAGGATCCAAAAAGGCCAGTCTTTCAATAAAACACCTCCAGCTCAAGTGGATGATAATGCCAACTGATGCATTTTGGGGGATGTACCCACTTTCTTAAGAGCAAAACTGATATAACTAACCCTTCCACTCCCTTATATTGAGCTGATTAATCATTAGTCCAACGCACTCTGGGAAGGGAGGGGGAGGAGGGAAAGGTCAAAGAGCACATGTGCTGACTCCAAGGTTACAACCTCAAAACTTTATGAACGCGAGCAATAGCAAGAGTATCAGTGATGCACGCCACTGATACAAAATTATATACAATTATATACTGTAGATGGTAGAAAATGTACCTCATCATTCCACCATATAGAGGGAAAGCACTTCTTTCCTTTTTCTTCATGGTGTCCCATCCAAGGAGTACATTCATATGAATAGTGAATTATATATTAATAATGATCATAATGAATTGAATGCAGTACTTAATACCAGGGTCAATAAAGATCATTCAGCCCACCAGAAAATAAGGGAGTGGAGGGGTTAGATATATGAGTTTTGCTCTGAGGAAGGGAGCATATCCCCCGAAACACGTCACCTGGTGTTATCATCCACTTGAACAAGAGGAATTGATGGGCTGGCCTATTGATTCCTGGATTACTTACTACACTGCTGTTAACATTTATTTTGTGAGTATATTTTATTTATCATTTGCCTTGCTAAAGTGCTTTGGCGCCCTTTGTTTTATTTTGTTTGTGCATTCATAGAATGAGGTCAAACAATTTCACCTTCCATAATTTTCTTAGTACATATTTTCTTTAAAGCTTAAATTGATTGTAAATGATTTTTTAAAAATAACAAACATGTTATACTTACCTGCTTTGTGCAAGCCCCTATACCAGGGGTCTGCAACCTTTAAGACATAAAGAGCCACTTGGACCGGTTTCCGAGAGGGAAAAAAAGACTGGAAGCCACAAAACCATTGCAACATTTAAAACAAATCCGACACTGCATATATTGCAAAAAGAGCTCTGGTCATGAAGGGGGTTTAAGGGCCCAGTAAGCAAAGGGTTAATCAGGGCCACAGTGTATCGTCATAATCACAATCATAGCCTTAGGTCAGTGGTGGGCAACCTTTTATTTCAACTGAGCCAAATCTCGCCAAAACCACGATTGAAATTTATTTTGAGAGCCACATTTTTAAAACTGAAAATACATCCCCCATATAGTAATTCATCCCCCATAGTAATTCATCCCCCATATAGTAATTCATCCCCCATAGTAATTCATCCCCCATAGTAATTCATCCCCCATATAGTAATTCATCCCCCATAGTAATTCATCCCCCATATAGTAATTCATCCCCCATAGTAATTCATCCCCCACATAGTAATTCATCCCCCATAGTAATTAATCCCCCATATAGTAATTCATCCCCCATAGTAATTCATCCCCCATATAGTAATTCATCCCCCATATAGTAATTCATCCCCCATAGTAATTCATCCCCCATATAGTAATTCATCCCCCCTATAGTAATTCATCCCCCATAGTAATTCATCCCCCATATAGTAATTCATCCCCCCTATAGTAATTCATCCCCCATAGTAATTCATCCCCCATATAGTAATTCATCCCCCCTATAGTAATTCATTCCCCATATTGTGTCAATTCACTTACCTTTGCTCCGCGCGTTCCTCTCGCCGTGTTCCCGCGCCGTTCCGGTCTTCAGGGCGGAATGTGAGAGGAGAGGAGTTCGTCACGCTGCCCCGCCTACATCCTGACAGCCAATGTTTGCCACGCTCGGGCCCGGATGAAAAGGTCCGCCGGGCCGTAGTTTGCCCATTGCTGGGCTAGCTGCAGAGTCCTGACTTTTGGGGTGGCCGCCCGAGAGGAGGGAGGGGAGCGGGCGCCTGGCACACAGAAGACCCTATTGCAGGGGTGGGCAAACTTTTTGACTTGAGGGCCGCAATGGGTTCATATATTGGACCCGGGGGCCGGACCAAGAGTAGATGAATGATGTGTATGTGTCATCCATAGTAAGTATAGTAATATTCCCCCATAGTAAGCATAGTAATTAATCCCCCATATAGTAATTCATCCCCCATATAGTAATTCATCCCCCATAGTAATTAATCCCCCATAGTAATTCATCCCCCATAGTAATTCATCCCCCATATAGTAATTCATCCCCCATATAGTAATTCATCCCCCATAGTAATTCATCCCCCATATAGTAATTCATCCCCCATAGTAATTCATCCCCCACATAGTAATTCATCCCCCATAGTAATTCATCCCCCATCCCCCATATAGTAATTCATCCCCCATAGTAATTAATCCCCCATATAGTAATTCATCCCCCATATTAATTCATCCCCCATATTAAGTCCCCAAGTGCCCCCTGTGTCAATTCACTTACCTTTGCTCCGCGCGTTCCTCTCGCCGTGTTCCCGCGCCGTTCCGTGTAGCATGAAAATCTGTCTCCTATGAGGATCTGTCCCCCTCGACGTATCTGCGCATGTGCCAGTTTCAGGTATTAGCAGCCGATCGGCGATCTCCGGCACATGCGCAGATACGTCGAGGGGGACAGATCCTCATAGGAGACAGATTTTCATGCTACACCGGTCTTCAGGGCGGACTGTGAGAGGAGCCTAGCGGGAGCCTAGCTCCGCGGGCCGGATTAAAAGGTCCGCTGGGCCGTAGTTTGCCCATTGCTGCTCTATTGCCTGTCACCTGGTGGGCAGTGTGCTCCGGAGCCGCAGCCAAGGTGAAAAAGAGCCAACACCTGCCCTATACTCTTCTGGGGTTTTCTGCTTGCTTGGGGAGGTACTCATGCAAACTTGATCCTGGGCAGCACTGTGTGCATTTATTGTGTGTGTCACCCCCCCCCCCCCATTCCCTCATCACTGGATTTGATTGACGGCAGCAATAATTCAGGAGGGAAAGAGAGAGCAGTGCCATTGATCTTGTGCACAGCTCTGGAATGAGATCAAGCTCAGCTAAGTATTTAGTTTGGACAGGGGAGAGGGAATAATAAAGGTTTTTTTTTTTACCTTAATGCAGAGAATACATTAACCACTTGCCTACCAGGCACTTATACCCCCTTATTTACCAGGCCAATTTTCAGCTTTCAGCGCTGCCGCACTTTGATTGACAATTGCGCGGTCAAAAAATGTGAAAAAAAAAAAAAAAGTTTCTTTGTTTCTATTATAAAATTTTTCAAACAGGTATTTTTTCTCCTTCACTGATGTGAGTTGATGAGGCAGCACTGATGGGCACTGATAGGCGGCACTGATGGGCACTGATAGGCAGCACTAAAGGGCACTGATAGGCAGTACTAATGAGGTGGCACGAATAGGCGGCACTGATAGACAGCACTAATGAGGTGTCACGGATAGGCGGCACTAATATGCAGCACTGATAGACGGCACTGATAGGTGACACTGATGAGGGGTACTGATAGACAGCACTGACTGGCATCACTGCTGGGCACTGACTGGCGGCACTGACTGGCACAACCCCTGGGCACTGACTGGTGGCACTGACTGGCAGCACTGCTGGGCTGCACTGGTGGGCAGCACTGGTGGGTGGGCACAGGTGGGTGGCACTGGTGGGCACAGGTGGGTGGGCACAGGTGGGTGGCACTGCTGGGCACAGGTGGGTGGCACTGCTGGGCACAGGTAGGTGGCACTTCTGGGCACAGGTAGGTGGCACTGCAGAGTGGCACAGGTGGGTGCACTGCTGGGCACAGGTGGGTGCACTGCTGGGCACAGGTGGGCGGAGCTAGTGGGCGCATGGCTGGGCACAGGTGGGCGGAACTTGCGGGCGGCACTGCTGGGCACCGATCATCAGGGCACTGATCATCAGTGCCCTGATGATCGGTGCCGATCCCTGCTCTGACAACTGCCGGTTCTCGGCAGTACTTTCCTCACGATCTGACAGCGTGAGGAAAGTGCAGCCGAGAACCGGCACTTGCATTTTCCTCTGATCAGCGTGTCATTGGACACCACTGATCACGTGGTAAAAGGCCGCTGTGATTGGCCTTTTACCACATCACGTGATCAGCTGTGTCCGTAGGACACAGCGATCATGGAGATCGCCGGGTGCGCGCCCCCTGGGGCGCGCAGGAGAGCGCGTTCTGGGAGGACGTCATATGACGTCCACCCAGAACTGGCCGGCCGCAGTGCAGCCGTCATTCGGCTATCTGCAGTCGGCTACTAGTTAAGGTACAAAAAAATTTAGCTTTTACATTTTGCATTCCCATACAGCAGCTGCTCTGCCCACCCCTTCCCTCTGTTGTGCATTCACAGAAGGCTTTATATTTTGTGAATGGGTTCACATAATTCAAAGCCTCTGTGACTAGGTAGGAGGAAAGGGAGGTTGTCAGAGCAGCTGCACACCACTCTTCAGCTGCCAGAGCCAAGACCCAAGGGTCAATGCATCAGAAGTATAGTGATAGCTATGCTCCCAGTACTAGTAAAAATGTAAATTGTATATTAAAGAGATAAGTCCATGAGATGGCATATATCTTGTTGGATTTATCTCATAGTAATCCAGCACATTTTTGTCAGGGCAGGAGCGGTGGAATGGACAGGGAGGCCTAATGGTAGGGTCACGCACCGACTGACGACAGCCACCACCCACAGACCGGAGTCCCTCAGGGCATGGAGTCTAAGCCCCAGGCTGCCTTTCACCAGGGCCCCTGATGGTGGGGATGGACTTGACGCAGCCAGGGACCAGGTCACGGCCCCTGAGTAACTCCAGCTGCAGTAATGGCCACCGCCAATGGCGTATAGCTGGTGGGAACCAGATGGGAAACGATAGCGTAGTCGGACAGGCCGGGTCGATAACAGTTGGACAGACAGTACAAGACGGTAGGCAAGAATACGCAGGTCATAAGCCGGGTTCAGCAACGGGAGGTCAGATAAAGGGATAAGTCAGAGAATAGTCTTAGTCAAAGCCGAGTCGGTTTCCAGGAGAGCCACGAGAGTAGAACAAGAGCTTGTAAAAAAAGTATGCAGCGCTAATAAAGCTAATAAAAACAAATGGAAAATCAGAACATAAGTTGCACAATAGCATAAGTGAAAAAACTCAGTCCATATTACATGGTGAGATAAAATGATAGGTGCAATTGTCCAAGTAATCCATGGTCAGAGATAATCGTGACTCTTGTGATCTTGTAATTGTACAAATAATGCACTAACCAGATAGCGCATAAAGTGCGCATGGAGCAATTAAGACCCGCTCCTGGTGCTCTGGACTTGTGATATTAGGAGGATGTCATCTACAGGTTGGCCACAAGATGTCATCAATCCAGGTATATTCGTAAGTCATCCACCAGAAAAATCATCAGCGGGGGAGGGGGTAATCACACATCACTCCAAACCAGCAGGAACCTTCAAAAGCGGGCTCCCATGCAATAGATGAGACCCAGAGAAGCTTCTAATAGTGTAGTATATCTTTAATAAGCAAACTTACAGCATGTACAGATAACGGATAAACTTACATCCAGAATAAGATCTGGCCACCAGGGTGTCAGTCAGGATAGCCTTGTGGTATGAGTACACAGGTCAGGGGCACCTCTCTAACGCGTTTCGTGTAAATAACACTTCCTCAGAGCTTGCTCAAGAACAAGAGCTTGCTGCAACACAATCATACAGGACACGAATGCAAAGAGCAAGTGCAGACAGGCTTAAATGTGATCAACCACACCCCTCTGGAGGAGGGACCGCAGAGGCCTGAAAGCATAAAAGGCTCCCACCATGCTTTGCAGAAACCTAAGAAGGATGCCAGCACATGGAGCAGCACCAACTCTGAGGAAAGGTAGGACCTTGACAATTTTAGAAAGTAGCCGAATTCTTGGCATTCAGGTTTATTTTTGTTTGTTTGTTCTTTGCTGCTGATGAGTCATGATGCTTTGTGCACTGTCTTGCTGGGGTAGCCAATCAAGGAACATCTACAGTCCTGTATATAAAATATGATTATGACATAATAGCACAATTAGAAATTCAGTATTTGAACATCACATTAACTATTATTTGTAGGTAAAATTCAGAAATAATTGAACTATCCTTTTACATCCCTATTATGTATCTCTTTTACTTGGAATCTTAAAAAAGGTCAAAACACATTCCATCCATATGAATGTAAGTGCAGTAAATATAGGAATTAATAATCTGCAATAAATCATGAGATTCAAATACCTATGTTTTTTTTATAAGATGAAAAGTGAATTTGGCACACCTTACTCTTCAGAAGTCCATATAGACAGCCTGGTATGCACTTTTTCTGCCCCATCAGTCATAATAACATAGAACTTATGACAGACCTAATCTGAACATTGGTAAGGTACGGTGGATGAGTTCTTGAGTATGACCCTCAGGAAATGAGGCGTGTAATGCTATGAAGAGCACTCTGGAAGACCCTTATTGCCTGCTAATGCTTATACACTGCTCGGAGCAGTTTGTTTTAGGATTTGCCATTTGCTTGGCAAATTGTTCAAATGGTTGAACACTAGGAAGCTAGAAGAAATCCTTTATTTTGGGATTAAAGCATTCAAGTCAAGGAAAGATCATTGTTTTTGAACTTCCAAGAGAAATCCTATCTGTAGAGAAAGGCTGTCTATTCTAATTAGTTAATATTTCGCCTCATTATCACACACAGTTTGACATCTTTACCAACCAGAGCTCCATTGTCATTATCCCAAACCCACAAGTTCAGTTATTTATTACCATCCATGATTGCAAAATCCTTTATGTCTGGGGAACAACCTTGAATCTTTTATAGACAGCAGCGCAAGCTGATTGGTTGAATGACAGATTAAAGTAATTTAAAGGCATGCATTTTTTAATGCATTATAGTCAAAAAATTTTTAGTTGTTTTTCATGCTGGTAAGTAAATGATACATCTAAAAGGAATTCATTCCCATTTGGGGATGTGTAAGATGTTTTAGAGTTCAAGTTAATACCATTGTTGGACAGTACATGTGATCCAAACAGTTATAAAGAGAAGGAATAGACAGCTGCCTTTAAATTACGTATATATTGTGTAGTACCCTCCTAGTTTGCTAGTTTATATTAGGTAGAGTTAGTTGGCTCTTCTGTAGGCAGAGGAGGAGGGGTTGATTGATTAGGACAGCTCAAGGATTCACAGGCTGCTGCTCTGCTACTTCCCCCTGTGTTCTGGGGTCTTCCAGAACATAGTGGGTGGAAGGGTAGAGATTGCAGCTTGAATATTTATGGGACTTCCACCAATCCCTGGTGAGGCATAGCCCAGAAGGTGGGGGAAGAGCCTTTAAGTAGTCTGAGCCTGGGACTGCAAGCATGCTGGAAACATTTCAGGGCCCAGGCAGGAGGAAACACTGTGGAGGGGCCTTGCCCTCTTGGGCAGAAAGCAGGGAAGGAACCAGCAGGTGGAAAAGAAGGTCTCAGCTAGGCTTAGCTATGGGACCTGAAGAAGTAGAGTTCCTAGAAATCCAGGGGTACAGGAGAACGGTTATGGGAGGAAAACTAGAACAGAAGCTGTGTGAGAGAGCCCAAGTTGTACTGGAGGCTGAGTGAGTCTGCATCTCCTTCACAAGTAATAAGCCTGATGGATATGGGAAAGAGGCAATCAATGATCCTGTGGCTGAGTAAGTACAAAACCACAGCACTGCAAGAGTGATTGTTTAGTGCTTTAGTTTTGAGAAGAAAACAGGATCGCAGGCAGCATAGAGATTCTTTGGGACTTGTTGCTAAAGAAAAATACATACTGAAGTGTGCCAGTACAACCAAGCAGAGGAGCAATACTGTTTGGGAGTTCAGGTACAGTTGAAGGAGTACAAGTTCTCTTTGTTGCTTTTTGTAAAGAAGTGGACAAGCACATCCAGAAAGTTAGTAGTCCTCAACATGTTGCAGTTTAGATTTCTTCAATTCGGGATATCACATGCTCCCTATCTTCATCCAAGTTAATTGTTCCCTAATAAAACACCAAAAACAAGACACCTAGACTGAATATTGAGTCTGTGGAAGAGTGTGGAAAATATCTTATGCCTGGCTGTGGGTGCTGTAAAGGAGAAATAGGTTATGCATGTTTGAGCGAATCGTAATGGAATGTCCTTTGATTCACATCATATTATTACTTTCCATGGTGCTGAAATTGTGTATTCAGTTTCAGTACCAAGAGTAGGGCCGATGCTACCGCTAGGTGAATTAAGCAACCGCCTACGGCGCAGCCACGACTGCGACTCACGGACAACTCTGACATGCTGGATAAAATGAAAATGGTTTCAGTGTCCTAGTGAATCAAAACAGACACACAGTCAGAGAGATCCCTCACCCTTCTTCCTCTACTTCCAGAAAGCCATATGCTATCTGCCTGTTTGCTGTTTGGTCAGTGCTGAGTGAGGGGGCATGGCTACCCAAAGGCCGCCGGCTCACCTTGAACTGATCAGTTGCTGTAACACGTGGAGAGGTAGAGGAGGGTGCAGCTTTCCTGTCTAAAAAGTGGACCCGTCACAAGGACCGCACACCCTGGATTTTGAATAGCAGCTGCTGTGGACCTGACCGGAGAATGGAGTATCAGGAACGGACTGCCACTGAGACACAGAGCCGGAGTCCAGCCAGAGGAGAGAGATCCAAAGCGAGTGTGGTAGAGGCCAGAGCTAACCTGAGTGTAAGCGGTCATTGGAGCAGACTGTGGAGGCCAGAGCCAGCCAGCGGACACCCAAAGCAGTCAGTAGCGGCCAGGAGAGCCAACCTGAGTGGGCAAACTGACTCAGCCAGAGGACTGAGGTAATTAATTTGCTGACCTGACACAGTCATCTACCAGGTAATTTCCATCATGCACACAGTCATTTCCATGCCATCTTCATCCTGCACACAGCCATCTCCAACCAGTAAACAGAGTCATCTTAATCCTGCACACCACATTCTACACTAAGTCATCTCAGACTCTATTTACCCACACCCCTTTATGCCATGCCCAATATTAAGCATAAT